ATGTTTTTTTCGACTTCCGCTCACCTTTACCACAATATTCGGCAGATCTTTTTTTTTTTTTTTTGTTTTTAGATTCAAAACTCAAGGTCAGTAATAATACGTTTCATAACATCCTGGTCGTCCGTTGGTATTGGTTCGCAGACGTTAACGCGAAGCGGTTTCTCAAATAAAAGTGATAAAAGTGATTTTGAACCAATTCTACTTTCACTTCTCTTAGAATCTACACACAAACACAATTAGCAAAGAATTTGGCGACATTTGTTTTAATTAAAATTTGTTATATTTGTGCTTTATTTATGTTTATTGGCATCATAAAAAGAAGAAGCAAATTGAAATGAAATATGACATCTATAAGTTCTTCTTACTCATATCAAAAATTATATATAATTTTATGCATTCAATAAAATTGTATTATCATGATGATTGCTTCTTAAATGTAACTTTTAAAATTATGATAAATATTTAAAAATAAAATATTTATTACATAAAATAAATGGAAATGAAATATTTCCATTTTTCTCTCCAAATAATAATGTTTTTATTTTTTCACATTAATCAAGAAATAAAAGCACTGTACTGCTATTTTAAGAACGTAATAAAGTACATACTTATATATACAGCTGTATGATACATACATATTGCATATGGCTATTATATAAACCCTACCCTACATATCAGCCGTCTATGGCTTCATTTTGCCATTTACAAAATGCAAATAGCTTTGCATACCAAATTGATAGCAGAACAATCACAAAACACATGATACACGCTTGCATAAACACATTTAACTGTAAAGCTTAGACACCTGAGTAGCAATTTAATAGCAATGACGCCATGAATTGAGCACTCAAGCAATTTTCCCCACACACCAAAGCATTCAAGCTGATTGTACGAGTGTGAGTGACTGTATCACCGAATTGAATTGACTCCTCCGCAAAAGCAGCAACACAAAGGCAAAAATTTAAAGTCGAAAGTGTTCGCTCGTGGTTCAAGTGTTTTGATTTTCTTTTCCTTTCAGTAGAAAGTCATACAAGTGGTCTCATTGCTTATTTATTTATTTATTATGTAATGCTACCGACGAGTGTCCTTCAATTAAGTAATCAACAGCTGAAATTTTTGAAGGAATTGAGTTATTTTAAAATAAGGAATTTCATTCTTGCTTTACATTACTGAATGCAATTGAGGACACTTTTCATTTTGCTTATATTTTTTTTGCGGTTTTAGTCAACCGCAATTTTGTGAAGTAGTTTCCTTTTAGAAGGATTATTATTAGTGGAACTAAGCTGAAGCAAGAAATTGATGATGATGAGTGCTGAGTTAGAAAAATAGAAAATAAGTGTTCTCACTGAAATTGTTTTGACATCTTAGGTTTTGAAGGATTGTGTGATTGTATAGATTCGCTACTATAACTGGTTGGATAGGCGTAAATAATAAAGGATAAGAAATTTTTCAGTTAAAACTTCTGTGACCACCCTCTAATTTAATGTACATATCTCCTAAACCACTAAAGCTACATCAACCAAATTCGCCTGGCGCAAAATTTATAAAAACTGCTACCGAGAGTGAAAATAGATGGAATCAGAAGATAATCATATGATAATCCCGCTCACTTCCCATATAACAATACTGTTAAAAACTACTAAAGGCACTATAAATAGATAACTAAATACACCAGAGTCATTATATTTTACCCTCAAGATGATACTATACAGTTTTTTCGAGCCGGGGTCAAAATTGGATGACCGGCGTGGCACTGCTCACTGCTTATAAGTGAAATCCCATAACTCTAGATCTAATAGATCGATTTCAAAAAATGTGATACCTGAAATTCCTCTGCCATTGGTATATTACAGTGTGAAAATGGGCGAAATTAGGGTACAACCATGAATATTTCCCATGTAACACAATGTTAAATTTTATTTGAAACTTTCACCTTCTAGTATACACATTAAGAATCAATTCATATATCAGGATAAAACTTTGTCTAATATGGCTTTTGAGGTATGCCAACTTATGACTTAAAGCTTCCCAAATCGAAGGAAAGCCCCTAAGTACCGAATATGTCGATCCCAGTACCTATAGTTGACCTTTTGCCGAAAATAAATACCAATGTGTGAGATTTAATTAAAACTCAGTGAGAATATGTTCCTGATAGTATTATGCTTATGTGTTACAAATGGGTTCAATAGGATCAATGCTTTCCTTGGCCTCAATATACCTAACTTAAAGATTTTTGAACTACTGGGTGATTTTACACAGCATATATCGGCAAATATGTGAGCTATGATTTAAAATTAGTGAAAACTTGTTGTAAGATATAGTACATACTGACCTATATATGCGGAATAAAGCCAGCTCGAAGTTTAAAACTCTTAGTATATAATTCTTATCAATTTTCTTATAAGATATATGGCGGCTAAGGAATATGTTGACTTGACTTTTCCAGTTTTGGTATTTGGACATATCATTACCTTAAAAATAAATTAAAAATAGATGCTCTCCGAATTTCATTAAGAAACCTTACATATTAACCAGAGTCAACCAGATATTTGAAAAATCCATATGTTTGTTATATTTATTTATACTTGTTTGGTGTATTTGAACTAGATACTCAATTTTACGCCATTTCGGCGCAAGTCATCACAAAAATATTGACCCAGAACTCCAATACTAGGCAGTTTGGCTAAACTAAGTTTCATCAAGATATTTTTTGCTCAGTCGCCTTCACGAAAGGACGGACAGACGGAAGGACACACAAACCGTCAGCCGAATTTCAACTGGTCTCGTCAACCTGATAATTTATGTATACAAATATATAACTCTATATATATCTCGATTAGTTTTAGGTTATACAACCCGCCTTTAGATAAACAAAACAATTATTCTCTGTAACAAGATACTGCGAGATCTCCCACACCATACCTTCGAATTCATTATGCTGTTCAATATGCTTTAACACCAAGAATATTGATTAAATTTATTGCGTTCCGGGTAGTATTTAAACATGAAAACCCAGGATCTTTTACTGTATATTTCGTGCGAAAACCCACTCGACGAAACTTTTTTTTTTTTTTTAAGTTGTCAAATGTAAAATCAAAATAATTATTATAAGCTTATCCTTTTCAAGTACATAAAGAGCATTCGGTCGGCGATTATTATGATGAGTGACATTATTCAATAACGAAGTTCTATTAAATTTTGTGTGTGGAATCAAATTTTTGGTGCCGAAACATTCAAAATGTTCGAAAAAGCCTTCGACAACAATTGTATGTGATAAAATTGAAAGGTGAACTTTTAATTTATAATTCGCGTGTTTTTCGAATCGGTCATTTTTTTCTGTAAATCATCAATATATTATTTATTATTTGAGATACGCGTCGTTTTGTGAAGCTCTAGAAATAATTATTAGATTTTTACTGTGTCTGCATTTATTAAGCAAAGAAATGCGATAATGCACCATATTATACGGCACTGGGTATTCGTGATCATTTCGCAACATTTTCAACTAATATCGTGCCGCAACCACCGCATTCGCCTGATTTACCTTCATGTAACTTCTGGCTATTCAGTAAATTCACATGACACTCCGAGTACACCATTTTGATTGCATTGAGGATATAAAGGCTGAATCGAAGAAGGCTCTGATGACCATCACGATGGAGGATTTTTAGTGTATTGCAACAGGTGTGGATTACTTTGAAGGAGATAAAATGGACAAAATTCACTTTTCAATTTTATACAGTAGCAAGTGCTTTTATTAGTACAAATTATTCAAAAAATGCGTTGACGACAACAACTGATAATCAACACCTCCATAAAACAAAGGAATTTGTGCTTGAGAATCGACTATTAACAGTCAAAGATCCTACTGTCATCGTTGGAATATCGGAAGATCAGTGAAAACCAGTTGAAAGATCATTTATGCTTAAGAAAAGTGAAACAATTATTGGGTCTAAAATCACTCAATTTTTCCGAAAAAAAAAACTTTGCGTTAAAGTTCGTGAAACAATGCTTCCCGACTTATAGGATGTCATCGTATTATGACTGGCGAAAAGTCTTAGATCTCTGCTTACGATCCGGAAATAGATTATCAATCGGCAGAATATCGTGCCAAAGGTGAGCCGAGGTGTGGTACACTTCGAATTCCTTCCGACCGAACACTGTCAATAAAGATTATTACTTGAGCGTTATTGTCAAAAAAGTCTTGCGGTATTTTTTATAGATTTTTCAATTGTTCATAAAATATTTTTGGGTGACTCATGCCCAGCTCATGACCGATGCTACGGCTGCTACTATGCCGGTCTCTTTCGACCAAATTCAGCGATTTGATCGAAATTTTCGACGACAGGCCTTCCGGAGCGTGGCGCATCTTCGACCACCTCTACACCAGAACGAAAAAGTTGAAACCATCGTTGTGCGGTGGAAATGGAAACTGTATCGGGTCCATAAACTGCACAACTTTTATTGGCGGCTTGCGATGCATTTTTGACTTTATCGTAGTAGTACTGTAAAATATGCCGTATTTTCTCTTTATTTTGCTCCATGTTTGCGACGCTATAACTTACGAACGACGATCAAACACGTGTTAGCGCGTGAAATGAGCTTTCCAAAAAGGTATAGCATGACCCGATGCGACGAATAAACCTAGAACTACGCGCTCTCAGCGCCAACTAGCGAAAATACCGCAAGACTTTTTTGACAACATAACACGCTTTAGATAAGCAGGCTCAATATAAAAGTAATAATATTGATATAAATTTACGACACATTTTACTCAACTGGTAATGTTTATACCACTCAAATACTATTTTTATATATTTAACCAAATTTTATTTTAAATTATTTTAATTTGGTTGATCTATTAAAAGCAAAGGTCTTTAATGCCTGTTGGTGGTTTATATTTCACATAATATCTTTTTTAAATCATACTGGAAAAATATAAACTTATTATTTTTCAAATTTCACTAACTGCTTTACTATCTTCTCTTGTCTCTTTACAGTCACAGAAAAAGAAATCAGACAATGGTGAGTAAGAGACAACAAAAAGGCAGTGCCTTTGTAACAAGTAATTCAATTAGCTCGAGAAAATATAACACACACACTAAGTCAATATCGAGTTTCAAAAGTCAAAACGAAAATTTACGAAAAATAGCAACAAAGGGAAATTTAGAAATAGTCGGGCAGTCAAAAGAACATACAGTTTCTCAGTTAATGTCACGCTGCCATTGAATAAAGATTGTATCAAAACACGGCAGCAAGCATTTGAAAAGAAATTCTCCCAGATTCTGGATACCTTTACTTCCATGTTTGTATGTACATATGTATATATGTGTGTGGATGTGCACTCAATTACGGTATATTAAAAAAGCAGCCACTGGCACTAAGTAACCACATTACTGTCATGCCTCAACTTGTATGAAAATTTACCGACCACAGGCGCACAAAAACAATAACAACAACAACAGCGAGGAATCAAAGCAAAGCCACACATCATCCAGCTGCCGCCTGTTAAGCACCCCTCCGCAAAAGCTCTCGCCCACTTGCTTGCTTATTGCCGGCTTGAATTAGTGCACCAAAGCAGACGGTATAATTCAATTGAAACGCATTAAAAAACACGTGCGCACACGCACACAGCCGCATTGGTGCGTATGTGTGTCTCTCTTTCACTACAAGTTAATACAATTTCATTTAAATGAAAGATGACAGCAATTTTTTACATCATTCCACACAGACCCAATTTGATTGCCGAAAAAGTATGGTAAATGACTGTCCTCACCTCTATGCCTCTTCCCACCACTCTCCCTTACTTTGGCTTGCTCTGCACAAGCCAACAGGTGGATTAGTCATAAGTAGCAGATTATGCGGCTTTGTGCTTACATTATCTAACGGTATCCTTGTGCACACACTTAAACGTACGTTGGTGTTCAAAAAGCGACAACCGAAAAATTTTTGTGGCAAATTATGCCAAATGGAATTTTAATTAGTTTGAAAAAGGCATTTTCTGTAGATTTAATGAATTTTAATTACCAGCCTTGCTGTTGGCACCATCGGTTGTTATGGTGCCGAAAGAAATTTCCAAGTCATGCAAGTAAACGCGAATTTCCAGCGGAATTGTGTATTACCATGGTAAATTGCTGTAAACAATGCCGAAGTATGTTGAACAATATTTACTCGCTTAATCTTCTTAGAGCATTCTTCTGACCCAAAATTTGAAATTGTGTAATAAATTCAGCACAAGCCATTTTAAGGCTTTAAATATTAATAAAAGTAAAAAGTAATCTTCGGAGCACTTTGGAGCACTTCTATGAACTCTTAGCACAATTCGTATCCTAAATTCATATTCTTGAGCGTAATAAAATGGTAATTAAATTTATGTAATTAAAATGGGAAGTTCATTACTATATGGCAAGTAATAGCTTATCGTTATCCCTTTCTTAAAATGATCAAATTAGAAAATAACTTCTGTAATCTAAGCCATCATATACCCTGACAAGGTATTTTAACTGTGCCACGATGCTTGCAATACTCAGAAGGAAACGTTGGATCCCCATAAAATAGGCATCAAATGCTTATATGGAAATCAAGATATTTGGCACGGATTATTTTCTAATTTAATCGTGCACTCTCCGAAGATATTGTTCAAATCGAATCACTATAACATATAGCTATCATACAAACTGACCGATTCAAATCAAGTTCTGGTAAGGAATCTTTCTACGATTCACCATTTTCGCATCGCAAACTTTCTTGTGAAAAAAAATTTCACGTAAAATCATAAGCAAAATTACCGAGTTGAATTCGCACAAGAGAGTATACGGACACCTCACTTTAATGCTAAAATCACAATCTTAAATGCTACAAAATTTTGTTCCGCATACTTTAAACCAATTTTACTGTTGTGAATGACTGAAATGACCAAATATTGTCAAAAACTAAAGTAACAAGTTCGGGTATAACCGAAAACTTTATACTCTTGCAACTTGTAAGGATTAAAGTCAAGAACGTACCTTCAAGAACATAAGGCCTGTTTGTTATATGAGGTCTAAGATCAGTTTTCACCCAATTTTATTTATTCGGAGCCCAAAGATGAACCGTTGTAGGAAAAACACGCTCTATCAGTTTTCCCATTAACTCACATATATACGGTATAAAGTACCCAGAAAATCTTTATATTAGGTATATGGGGACTAAAGGAAGTATTGACCCGATTCAACACACATACATATGTATATACTATTATCCGGATTTTTTCAATTTTTAATTTCATTACAGGTTACTAAAAACCTCCCCTCCTAGGACCGCATTTGTATTACTTCATTGACCAATATTTGTGGTAAAAAGTCCACTATAGGTACTGGAGTCCAATAATTCGGTACAGTTTCTATTGGATTTACTCAATTTTTGGTTATAAATTAATTATACGTGCAAAGTTTTTTTCCTCTATATTAATTGCTTCTTGATTAGTAAAATCGAATTGGGAGAATCAGATGTAATTTAAAATTGTGGCATATGGGAAGTAGGCTGCAGTCCGATTTCAACCATTTTCCGGCTGTAACATACAAATGATAGAGGACTGTCACATATCAAATTTGGTTGAAATCGGTCGAGTGGGTCTTGAGATACATATGTGACTAAAAGTGACACTTCCACGCACGCCGATTGATTTTGAAAACGGCTCGTATAAGGTTCTCTCATACTACCCCGAAGATATTTATAATTTAATGTCTCTGGCGAATTCAGTTATTAATTTATCCTGTTTTATTAGTTTTTTTAAACTCATAAAGATTTTAGCTATAGCCGTCTGTACATACACGTAGCAACCCCTCAGTGTTTGAGATATCAATCTGAAATTTACCAAGAAACTACTTATTTGTAAAAACCGCCAATATCGGAAACAACAGCATATAGCTATCTTACAAAGTGATCGATAAAACTTAACCTTGAAAGGAAAACTTGTTCAGTGGACAAAATGTCTTTCCAAATTTGGTACAGATCATATTTTTCATACAGATTTGGTACATAGATCAAATTAATGATAGGAACTTTTATATCTTTATTTTAAGATAAGGCTTAATACCAGTTATAAGTTTTTGTTTTTAGAAACCAAAAGTAAAGGGTTATTAAAACAGTATTTGACGTCAAAAAAAGAATACATCTTTAAAACGAAGAAGGGCAACACAATTGCATCAGAAGACATGTTAGAGTCGGGTTGCACCGCACACACTGTCTGTTTGCTTGAACTGTTACTATGCGGTTTTGACCATACTATAAAATATATTTGTATGAAAAAAACTTAAAAAGCTTAGTTGATTAATTTCAATTTGATTACTTTTAAAAATACACAATAAATATTTACTTTCTTACTCTTTTTAAAGGCACAAAGGCTTTCTGAAAGACTGTCCGAATGGTTTGCTGACAGAACAAGTAAGTAAAATATTTACAAGTAATATTTTGATTTTCGTAAGTAATTTAGAAAATCTTGTGAAATTTTTAGTTGTATGACTTTCATGTGTAAAAAAAAAAATTTTTCGAAAATAACAAATGAAGAAATTATGGATGATTAAATCAGCAGAGCAGAGCTGAATTGCATTCTTGGACATTATTTTTTTACTTGTTTGAAGGCAATTTTCGAAATAGGCTTCATTCAGCTTTTCAAGAGATTGACGGTTAATGTCGTTTTCTTCGAAGTTTTCGTTTGAGTTTGCTAAATCGCTAGAAGTTACAGGGACCTAAATCAGGTTTCGTCATGACATTGATTGAAAATTTGGCGAAAACCTCACGAAGAATCAATGCACTATGCGACGGTGATGCAAAACTAAAAATTGTCGGTCCACAAATCCAAGCTCTTTTTACGAATATCTTCGCCCAAATGACGCATACACTCAAATATTATTCCTTGTTTACAGCTTGGCTGGTTCGGAGTGCACCACACCTTGATAATCGAAGATAACTGTCAACATACCCTTGGTTTTTGACCTCCTTTTAGCTACGGCTCACTTTTACCACAAAATTTGGCCGATTTATCGTCTGTTTCCGGATCGTAAGCACAGATTCAAGACTCATTGCAGTAATAATACCTTCCATGGCATTATGATAGTCGGATATCATTGTTTCACAGGCGATGTTTTTCGTGAACTTGGAACCAATCGTCCTTTCACTTTTCTTAGACCCAAATGACTAAACACGAATAATTATTTTGGTATGATATTTGGCACAGATATCACTGACCGTCATACCAACCTAGAAAAAAATATTTCGACGCGAAATTTAAATTAAAAAGTCCCACCTTAATATGTTAAATTAAATCGATATTTGTCAAAAAATACATTTTCCTTTACAGCTATACAACTTTTTAAGGCAGACTATTATACGAGTACGAGGTATCTTAATATAGTCGATTTAGATTGTTTCACTAATAACTGTACGTTAGATGTAATTGATCCACACCTTCTCACAGTAAAGCTTTCTGATCCTGTGAACTACTTAAGACTCTGTATAGAGGTATATACAGTATCAGTCAATAAGGAATATATCCCATATACTTTATATTAATATCTCGCGATCTTCATCATACATATATCTTCTCCAATGCGAATTTCGTCTTCAATTCATGTCGATTGCTCGAGTATTCAATGTTCGACAGCATTAGACCTTCTGATTTATTTATTTCACATTATTTTTATTGCCAACTTTATTTGCCACAACTAAATTACTGAGAAATTTTGCAAAACAAAACACTTATTTGTTGGCTAATTTTCTGTTTGAGTAAAAACGCAAAATCCGACAGAAGCATAAAATTCAGCTGCAAAACAAAACAAAACAAAATGTAGCCGAAAATAAACAAAAAGTTGTTGTGGTTAACACCATAAACCATAACGAAAGATTTAAACTTGTACTTATTTCTGTGCTTCGGCCGCACTTTATAGCGCTGGGATTTGCAACTTTTACGAGAAACAGTAAACATACGCATTAATTCGAGTATGTACCTACTTACGTAACCGCTTGGAAAAAAGACGAAAATAGTGTCTGACAGTTGTTGTTGTTTGTTGTATACGAAATATATTTAATGCCTGCCGTTGCTGTTGTTTTGGTTACTTAATATAACGGTTCGGTTGCTTTCAAGTGTACAGAAAGGTTGATTAATACACGTGTATCGGCTGTAGTTGGATCAGTAGTAGATATGCGGAAGCCAATTTCAATCAACTTAGTATAGCTAATTGAAATGATGTTCTTTGCAGAACAGTTTTGAATTGATTTTTAATTAGATAGAGCCAAAACTGACGTAGTTTCAATATCAGTAATGTAAGTGGTGTTTTTCAAGGAAACAACGCAGTAACTTATTATTATGACCAAGAATTTAGCTTCATTCCAAAAATATGGTTTCGAAGAAATTACAATACAAAGGCCAAATTTTTGACCAATTTTGAATCACCAATTTTGAATCAATTGGGGCCAATATACACAATACGTCAATATACTATAACAAAACGTCCATCGTCTCGGACTTATTTGTGTAGATAATTGACTTCACATAACGAAAAGGTCCATGTAGACTGATGGTATTGGCTGTATGGCGTGTAGAGTATTTACATTATACAATGGCTTTTTGAGGATGTACGGCGTCTCAGTAATGAAAAAATCATTAGATCAAACGGTCAAGAAATGTTGAAGACTGCAAGAGCTACTCTATAAATACCACAAGTCTCGGTAGTAAGTACCCTTCTATTGAACCTAATGTATGATGGGGTGCCAAGGAGACACACCAACCAAAATCCGTTAAATTAATTGCATACGCAGGCGACCTTATTGTGGTGGCAGTAGTTAAATATCTAGATGACCTCCGCAGTAAATATAATACAATGAGTTCATAAACGGTCTGCACCAATGGTTCTCCTCAATGAGTTCAGAACTGGCTAATCAAGAGATAGAAGAATTGCTCATAAATACTAGAAAAGTAGAGGCAAGTATATCGCTCACCCTAGGGGGGGTGTGAGATGCATTCACAGCCACTGCTAAACTATATGGGAATATCTCAAGGCTCAAATTTAAGGATTATTTGGAAAACATTGCAGCTAAAGCGAATAAAATATTAAACGCCTTATCAAGAATAATGTTAAATAAAGTCTGCCTGCGCACTAGGAGGTTATTTTTACTAGCAAGGGCTAGTAAAAACTTTTACTATGCGGCTCCAATAAGGATCCAGACGCAAGGCATTAAAGCATATGTCAAACAAATAAGCACAATGCACATACCGTGAACGCTTAAAGTTATCAATGCTTTTCGAACAATATCAAGGAATGCAGCTGATGTATTAGCCAGTATGATATCCATTGTCCTCCAAGGTGACGAATACGAGCACGTATATAAGTTATCAGAGCTGTCTGTAGTAGACAAAAGAGAAGAAAGAGTCAAAAGCTTAAAAATATGGCAGCAGAAATGGTCAATTTCACTCGTAAGACGTTGGATCCACAGACTGATACTGGACATCAATTCGTGGATAGACAGACTACACTCAAATACTAAGTAGACATGGGTGCTTTAGTCCGAACTATCCGGCGTGATCATAGGTTTAAGTACAAGTGAAAAACTTAAAACTGCACTCAGTGATAGTTTTACGGTGGAAATTTTGATGGCACTCATGTATTAGTCCACTGAGAACACCTCTTGTACCACCGTTTTATACTCTGAATATGGTATATTAAGTTTATCATAAAGAAAAAAATGTACAATAAAAGATATCTAATTGTATATACATGAACTAGTCCCTCAGTTTTCAGATGCCGATCATAAATTTTGCAGTTTTCTACCCAAGAAGCCTTTCGATAATTTGAATGATCAAAATGAAGCCCTTTTGTAGAAAAGTTTTCTAGTTGACAGTATTATCTTCACGAAAATTGGCATGGATTATTGTCCAAAAGTATCTCATATAATTGTTCAGATCGGACCACCTGAAGTTCTCATACATATAGACAGTACTTTTGACAATACATCTTCCTTTAATTTGGTATAAATTACTTGTTGAAGCAGCAATATAACTTCCGAGCATATGTTGAGCTACAGTAATACCATAGTTGCTAAAAGAAATACGCATGTGAAGTGTGTTATAGCTTCGATACAGCCGAAGTTAACGTTTTTTCTTGTTTAACTGTCTTTGCACCGACCACATCTAAAACCTAAATTGGCACAGACTGCTGTAATTACATTTAAATTACATATAAATGAGTAATGAAAATACATATATGCTAATTTGGAAATAATTAAAAGATAGACAAATCGGCAAAAAACTTTGAGTTTTCATACTAAAATGATATATATTTTGCATTACCAAGAAAGATTCCACTATATTTTATATATTTCTAAAATTACTGCAATAAAACCAAAATTAATGTCCCTCAATTATTTTGGAATTACAAATCTTTCTTCAATGGTCAATATATTTATGTATTCACACAAATCTAAGCCCATTTTTTGACTGTTTTGCTTCTCTTGGCATAGTGAGTTGCTAAAAAACGTATCCATTGTTGTTCTTGTTGCTACTTAAGCTTGACGCAGTCGGGTATCGCGCGTCAGCTGTGCGCTTCATGGTTATATTTCATAAACAGTACGTAAGCAGGTGCCCATGATGCTACTCGGCAGTTATAATAATAACAACAAAGGGATTTTCTTCGCTTGAACGACTTTGCGCCGAAAAGTATGTCTGATAAATACAATTTATGATTGCGAGGTAGTTTAAGTTGAAGGATAAACATAACATAACAGTGGTGTGAATTTGAATATAAGTATGAATGTACTTTGACAAGCGAAGGTTGAAAAATTTTACTTAAAAAAATTGAGTAAGGATTATCTATGCATATACATTATACAATGCGTGAATACGGAATTCTTTTTTTAATGGAAAATAATATTAAAGACTAAAGGCAGAAAAGAAATTGTCAATTTAAAATAGCGGGCTAAATTTATTTTCCTATTCATAACTCGATTTTAAATTAAAAAAATTTCACAAATATTATTCAACAATATTTATACACACATTTTATGGCTCACCTTTAGTTACCACACTAAATCTAGACTTTTGTAATATCGCGCAGATATAATTAGTGACCGTTTGTGGACTTACCTGCAAGAATATAAAAAGAATAATTGTAAACTTCAAAGGCAAAATATATACACATAAATAGTATATGTAATAATATACATAATATAATTTTATAAAAATGCTTAGTATATTATTTTTTTACAAGTACTAAGCTTAATCTGTTAAAGCATCTATAACAATATTTTTTAATTATTCTAATATTCATTGTGGTGTGTGTTTATTTGAATCCTAAAATGATCCACGGCATCATTGTGGTTATAACAAGGATCACATTGCTTCTCTGACTACAAACAGTACCTGAAATGGCCTAATACACCGCACGTGGCAGTGTATACTGATATACCTAAGTGTTTTATTCTATATCTTTAATACTTTCCTGGGAGAACGTTTTTAATGTAAGCGTAAGGGGTTACTACATATACATTCACATTTGAGTTTCACAAAATCACCATTTTTCTCAACATCGCTCCTGTCATCCCACCTGCCAAATGGGTAAATTTTCTTCACCTTCAAATATTCAACCGACTTTCTTACATATATTTCCCAAAGAATATTCGAAGGAATAATATTAATAGATTAAGAAGTGTAAAAGATGCAAAAAAAAACTCTTTTATGGAGGGTCCCTCGATGAGTGGAACACAATTTTCTGTCAAGGACCGCACCAGGTACATTGAGGTAGTGTTGGGCAGCAAACTGCTGTGGAAGCACAACGTGACAGAAAGAGTGAGCTAGCTTTTGTAGGCATATGCTGGGCACAACGAGGGGGCTCCATCGCGGCCCTTGAACTGGTACTAAACCTACTACTTAAATACTTCTGCGTAGCAAAATCGGAGGAACGACTACTGCCTGAAGGAGAATTTGCACATAGAAAGCTCGGTGGATAATGGCGGTTTGGCATATACCGACTGCATGATCCCAGTTATCAATTGGGAAAGAAGGATCAAAGTAAATATAAAAAAAGATGGTTGACGTAAAGGTATGTTAGCTACACGCAACACATTGAACATATGTACGGATGGCTCGAATATGGACGATAGAGTTGGTGCGGGGATATACTATCCGCAGTTAGGCACAAGGCAGCTTTTTAATTTGCTGGACTACTGCAGTATATTTCAAGCTGAGATTTTTACTATTGTGAAAGCCGCGAAGCTGGCCTCTAATTCACCTGCAGGCAATTCCAGAGTCAACATTTACATATACAGTCAAACAGCAATCATAGCAGTAATCTCGTATCGCATATCTGGCAGAAGTGTCTTACGAAGCAGGATAGCAATGGAAAGTGTTGCCAAAAGCAAGCAATTTCATTTCTACGACGATATGGATAGAAGCATGGTAAAGAAAATCAAAACCGGTTGGAACAAGCTACATGGGTGCAAAACTGCAATGGTCATGTGTAAAACGGTAGATTGAAAGTACACAAAATTCCTATTGGCACTCAATAAAAGAGGCTATAGGAACAAGATGGGAATATTAGCTGGTCACTGCCCGCCAGATGCCGTTGATTGATCGAGAATAAATGCCTAGAGCAGGGCACCAGGGACACAATGGGGCATCTCTTGTGCACTTGTTACGTATTGGCAAAGTTATACTGTAAGCATTTATGGTCCCCACGGTATGATACACATTAGGAAGTATCGTTAGTAAATTCACAAAGTCTGTTAAAATTTATTTTCTATTTCCGTCTAACGGAAAGACCGCCGGTCTGTCTGTATAAACGTGTACTAGTCGCTCAGTTTTTGAGATATTGACCTGTAACTTCACACTTGTACTTTTCTGTTAAAGAAACTGCTCACTTGTTGGAACGAGCAATGTTGGATCACTATAGCATATAGCTGCCATACAAACCGAACGACCGGAGTCAAGTGCTTATAGACGTAACTACTTCCATTGCCGATTTTCTTCTGTACCTCACATGAGCTTGGTATTTTTAACATAGTAAAGGCTTTATGGTATAGATACAACAGGAAAAATAGCATAAAAACATATACCTTTACAGGAAATACTATACTATGTATACATATTCAATTCAACCCTTCGCTAGGCAAATGTAGTCTTTTTTCGATCTTAAACCTTATACCTAAAAATTAAATGAAACAGGAAATGTCGAATATGTAGAAATATGTCAAAAAACGTTTTGGATGAAATTTAGATTTCTTAAGTACATATGTACATTAATTCGAAATTACTAATTTGAGCCGGACCCACAGTGCGCTGGAATTAATAGCAACAACACTACTACACGTATGCAAAAGCAAATGGCTTAATTTTGAAAACTAATAATTCGTAACAACAATAATAACTGCAGCAGAAACAACTGTTATGGCACAGAGGAAGGAAAATGGAGCACACTAAAATACAAGCTAAAAATAATAATAATAAAGCAAACAACATGGCGCCACACTTTGCTAACCTTCATGTTTTCCTGTTGGTCATAACTAGATTTTCACACTCGCAGACTACCGACTCACACACACACACCTATATATGTATTTATATATTTTTTTTTCCATCGCCCACACGACACCCACGCGTGACAGTTGCTCTGACTTTGCGCGTGTCCTGCGAACATGTCAAGATTTGTTTTTATTACTTGCTGTTGTAATTTTACGAATTTCGTATTTATGTGCTTTTTCATCTTTTCTTGTTTTCTCTGCTTTACAGGGTTTTATTAAAATTTACAAACAATTCTTCCCGCAAGGAGATCCCAGTAAATTCGCATCGCTTGTGTTTCGGGTCTTCGACGAGAATGAGGTGAGTAATGCGCCGAACATAAGACAATCACAAACACACACCCAAAAACACGTACCCATATACACACATACAAATATATAATAGCAAATAATAATAAAAATGCTGAATGACTATGAAAAGCCACAACAAAACCAGTATTTCGCTGTCAAGGCTGTCCATTCTCGTCTCTCACCTACACATACATATGTAGCTATGCTTTTGTGTAGTGTTGGCGGCAAACATTGGTTTTACCGTTGCTTTTATTTGAATTGGCAGCTCATTTATTAATACAATCGACTTCATGCCATGCAATTGCAATTCAATTTTATTCAATTCGATTGAATGCAATCCATTTCGTAAAGAAAAAATGTCTTCAATATTTCTCAGAAGACATAAACACATTTACTGCAACACTAACTTACTCAAATTAAAAAGTTATTGTGCTTTCAAATTAAACATCAAGAAAATTGCACTAAAATTTTCACTTCTCTTTTTTCTCAATTCTATTTCATTCTTAACAACTATTGCCTATTTGTTTTTATCTTTTCCCCCCAACTCGTTGCTTTTCTACCTCTCCTTTCTTGTTCGTTTTGCTTTTCTTTGTTTTCTGTTGCATTGCAGGATGGTGCGATTGAGTTTGAGGAGTTCATACGGGCGTTATCGATTACATCACGTGGCAACCTGGATGAAAAGCTGCAATGTAAGTATGAATATTCGCACACATATACGAAATTGTTTGTGCATTTTCCACATCGTTATTTGTTAGTATAAATATGAAAGCATAGTTGTTGAACTGTATACAAGTTAAGTTTGTGAATCGGAAAATATTTGTATATACATTTCTCTTCTACTTTTTTTTTTTTTTTTTTTTTTTTGTTAGGCCTATTTTTTTCTTTTTTTTTTTTTTTTTTTTTTTTTTTTGTGAGGTAAGGCCAACTACAACCAAGAGTTGGTTAGAAGCTATTCAGTTGGCTTTTACTAACATCCGAAATTCATCTAGCAAGTCCACATAGGGATTATGAATAGGTTGAGCCATTTTCAACAATCTTTTTCTCATATCAAAAAATGAATATTTTATTAGAATTTTTTATTGTTACAAACAGAAATTCTGAAATTTTTGGCAAAAAATATTTTAAAATCGGCCATTTCGATTACCGGTGACCCCTCAGAAAAAATGCACCCGCGTTGGTAATATAACTCCTAAAGTGAAAAAATACGCATTTTCGTTAAAGTTTTAACTTTACAAATATAAATAAAAAATTCAGTGAAAATTTTACGACATTTCAATTGTTACATTGTGGATATTCAAATAGTTGTAGTCTTTAAAAATTGTATCTCAAAGAACTGTGTAAAAGTTCATGAAGATTTGTTGAGAAGTTCTCGAAAAATCTTGCCAACCAACTTCAAAAATACAGTTCCGAGAAAAACGCGTTTAAAGACGGCGCACTTAGCCTAGCTATCCTCGAGCGCACAAGTTCTCTACAGCCCTCCATGACTATTACTCGGATCAACTTGAAAATTTTTGGCAATATTTTAGAGGTGTAGAACTTAATAAAACAATAAAGAAATTCGATTTTTTGAAACCCATGCCAGCCCTTAATCATACTTTTAGCTAAATAACTCAAGTTAGGTTTGGTTAGGATAAATTTGTTTAGATGGCTAATGTTAGGTGGTCACCAACAAACGCCTGCTAAGAACACGCAAGAGTCACTGCTGCGTCGTAGGATGACAATGGAGATCCAACTCGTTCACCATCTAAGTGGTGATTACCCTCTGGCACCCAAATGCGTATGATGATAAAGTAGCATTATGCTATTTCTGGTTAGGGCAAACACACCACGACTAACTTTGAGGCACAGTTTGGGAGCTCAACTTCCGCTCTACTGTCGGAGTGAATGCCCACTTCCCTAAAAGAAGCTTCACTTCCTGAAAGAAATTTCACTACTACACAACAGTAGTCTAGTAGCTCAAGGCTAAGCTTGAAGAGGACCTCCTTACATAAGACTCTCTCAACATCTTTCCCTTATAACTTCTAACCGTCTGTGAAAAACCTCACTGCGCCTCTTCCTCATGAATGTCTCCCTCTTCGGTATGCGAGAAGAGAAACCGCCGCCACATGTGGGAATTAGTTCAAGTTTCCAGGGTTGTAATTGAAGGCGAATGAGGCAATTTTAGCGTGACTCTGTTCGGGCTGCTTCATACAGCCAACTTCCCTGAACTTTAGACCTGTCTTCGCAGTAATGATACTGTGTACCGAGATGCCAATTAGTACCGCTCTTAGGACGCGTTCAATCATCTTAACAAGTGTAACCCTTTCGAGCACCATATAGCAGACGAATACACCATAGAACACTATCGGCTGGACTACGGTTCGTTGAATTAAAACAAAACCTTTTCTAGAGTGTCTAATATTTCCCTATAGTTCGCCTATAATAGTATAAGGCAACCGATCTCTCTATATATTTGACCTTTGAAAGTTTTTTATCAAGCATAAATCCCAGGTATTTTCCCTTATCAACAAGTTGAAGGCGTGAATCTCAAAATAAGAGGAAAAGGACGTCTGGGATTTGGTACCTCCTGGTAAATAAAATCATTTCAGTTTTATTCGGGTTGACAGCTAAGTCGGTTGTATTCTCCCAGTTGGATGCCACGCCTGGGTACCGCGTAGGCTCGTAGACGGCACAATTTTATTTTACCATATGAGCAACGTGGTTAGCGTAAGCTGTCAGCTGACAGACTTTTTCTTCGAGTTCTTTTATTCGGTCATTAATCACCAAGATCCAGAGCAGTGAGGAACTTACCCCCCTATTAACCTTTCGGCATACCCCTGCACTACTCCACCGACCATTCTGTCGCTGAGAAGATATACTTAAGTTTCGATTCCGCCTCAAGCCTTTAGAGGATTTAATCACTGGCTCTGGACGCAGATTGTTAACGGACTTCTCGATAGGAGCTAAACAAATTCCTTTTGTATAGGGGCTTCTCCAGCCCTGCCACTATGTAGTGGTCCTGCCTTTGCTGTATATTTTGCTCCAAATGCACAAATTTATGAGCCTCTATAACGTTTTAACAGAAACGAGAATAGGTCAATGGGCCTTAATATTAAATGAACGAGGTTACTACATATGTATACTAAAATTTACAACGGATTCAAAGGAAGGTGAGAAAGTGTTTTATAAACATATCTCCCTTGCAACAATACCAAATTTATAAAGGTATAACTTAAGGTGTTATTTTTTTGGTTAAGCATTTTACACGCTCAGATTGTGGTATACGCTACTCAACCGGGTAATTAAATTAAATTTAATATAGGGAGAAGAGATTTTCTAATACAATAGAAATACAGCGGATTGTCGAACGTACATATATAAGCTTAAGTAAATTAGAAATTTTGTGAGTTCTTTTTAACAATAAATCTTATTTACATATATAAATGAAAATTTATTCAAAAACTTAAATTTGTAAAAAAAAAACTTGCTTTTATTACTTAAGGGGCATTCCGACTCTACGATGTGGACAATGATGGCTACATAACGAGAGAAGAAATGTATAATATAGTGGATGCAATATATCAAATGGTGGTAAGTGAACTATATTAATTAATAATTAACTGCGCTTTATTTGTAGCATTTTTTTTTAATTAGATAAAATTTCTTTAACAAACTATTATTTTGACATTTTTTATGTAGAAATAAAAGTTCCGCTAATTAACCTTGCCACATTTCATTGCTTTTTTCCACGTATTTTTATTTTTTTTTTTTTCATACACTTTCTTAGGGTCAACAGCCGCAAACGGAGGAAGAGAACACGCCGCAGAAGCGTGTCGACAAAATATTCGATCAAATGGACAAGAATCATGATGATCGTTTAACGCTCGACGAATTTCGTGAGGGTAGTAAAGCTGATCCACGTATAGTGCAGGCGTTAAGTTTAGGTGGTGATTAACCAAAAGAGACTTAGTTTAATTCTGCTACAGATTAAACGAGGAAACTAAACGGATATAAAAACAAAATAGTTAAACAAAAAAATAGTTAAAAGTACACTGCAGGAAGAAATAATAGCAAAGTAATTGTAACTACAAAATAATAATAAAACAAACAATAGGGAAGCATAGATGATTAGAGGATATCAATTTTTGCAAAATATTTATGAAGGGAAGCGAGTAAAGGCAAAGGGAAGCACACTTGATACGCACACAGGCATACAAACATGACTGCTATGGTGGCTTTGGCTACCAAAAGCGCTCAACACACACACACATGTGTAAACACTCTCATGCATACATGGACATGTACATCCCCATGCAGCTATCTGAGTTACATGACAGTTAGGTTAATGATACAAAAAAATATGCGAAAGTAGAGCAAGCGGTAGAAAAGCTTCGAATACCGATTACGTTAGTGGTTTGCAAATACAAAAAAAAACTAAAAAAGCAAAAACAACAAACAACAGCAAAAGTAATGCAATTTATAAAGTATAAGCATTGCAAATGTAGGAGAAACGGGTTTAGCTAAGTTAAACAATATTCAAGCTGCAATCAATAGACATAGGCGCCCATGCATTAAATAGCATACATATGCAATGTACACAGATCCAAGCGCACATACATGCGCGCACACATAGTTTATAGTGATGTCAACGAAACGGTAATCAAAATCTGCCCACAAAAATGGCGGCTATGCGCGGCGTACACAGCAGCTCACAAAATACAAAATTTTTTGAAACAAATAAAAATAAAAAAAATTAATGAAAATAATAAACAAAAATCAAATTAACTTGGCAGCATACACTTGTAAAAAGTTAAGCTAAATTTCTGTAGAAAATGATGCGAAATCAAAGTAAATTATATATTACACATAAATTGCGAAATTGCGTGCAACTACACAAAAGGTCGAATACAAAGGTGCGTTTTGAACAAAAAAATAAAAATGCTAATAAACAATAACAAAAAAAAAAAAATTGCAAATATGTCCAGGTAAAACGCAATTTATAAACAAAGCAAGGCAAATAATTCATAAATATGCTTGCAGGAGAATATTTAAATAAAAAAGATTAAATTTATATCAAAAAAAAAACATGCATACGTATTTACAAAAACAAATTTCAGCTATAAAATACATTAAAAAACTTGCTAAACCTTTTGAAAGCATGCAGCAAATTAATTGCTGCGACTGCTAATGAGAGCATGCTTTCCTAGCGTTACCATACTATGCGAAATAATCACTGAGACCACGTGTATTTGTAAATATTAGTCAAACGAAATTGTTATGAACAATGACACCAATTTAAAATTTATTATATAAAGCTATTAGAATATTCAAAAAAACAATTGCAACTTTAAAATTTTCCCTACTACTTTTATTTGAATCTTAAAGCTCGTCCTTAAGACGTTAAAAAAGTTTTAAAATAATATATTACTTATAAAAAAAAAAATTGCATAAAATAAATATTGACTTTATAAATTCGATTAGGAAGCAATTTTATTGCTTAAGCGTAGTAAAGAGGCAGTAGCAGCGTAGCATATGTGTTTAGAAAGGGAAAATTTTAATTGTTTTTGAATACTCCGCACCATAAGCTTTTAACAAACAGCAGCTTTATTTCTGTTTTTAAACAGAAACCTAATAATAATTCAAAAAAACATTAAACTTTTTCGATCAGCGCTTAAATAGTAAGAGATTTGAAAAAAATCAGATAAATATCCACACAATTTTATAATTCTTTTGAAACTTCAGAAGAGCTTTTTGAAAAAGCTCCAAGGAACCTTGCTGTTAACGCAAAAGCTCTAAAAATATGAAAAGAATCACATAAAAATTTGAAGAGCTTTTTGAAAAAGCTCCTAAAATCCTAACTGCTATCACAAAAGCTCAAAAGATATGCAAAAAATTAGCAAAGAAAAAAAAAAGATTTTATAATTCTATTGCAACTTCTGAAGAGCTTTTTGAAAAGCTCTTAACTTTTCCTTTACTTTTATCACAAAAGCTCATTCCAAAAAGAAAAAAAAATAAATCAAGCTGGAAAAATATGGTATAAAAACATTTTACTTTAGTAAAGAATATAGTATATAGTTATGTCAAGTCCTCGATCATAAATTTAATTTTCTTGCGATTCAGTACATTATAGAGTTTTGGTGTATAATATTAGTTTTGGTTGTTTCAATAAAATCTCAAATATAATATAATAATTTTATAATTTCTTTGAAACTTCTCAAGAGCTACTCTCTAGTACTCAATAAACAATACGGAGATGTCAAGTTCTTGACCATACATTTAATCTTCTTTCGATTTGGTATATTATAGATTTATTTGTGGCATATAGATATGGTTTTTGTTTTGTAAAAGTAAATATACGAACAAAATCAGACGATTTTCAAACAATTTTAAAGAGGTTTAATATTTTAGAAAAACATGTTAAAGTAAAATCCACTTTCCAGTAACCAATATCCTACAGTGACATTTGAAGCTCTCGACCTTAAGTTATATATTATTTTTTGCGAGTTGCTATATAATATATTTTTTGTGCTATCATTACTTTTTTTTACTTATATCAACAAAAGCTCGAAGATATCAATACTGGTTGATAAAATAAAATCGTGTAAGTCTGTCTATACCTACATAAATCGGTGAATTGTTTATTCAGAAGTATCATAACAGAGGTAAAACGACAGCAAACGACGATATGAATTTCGATTTCTTAGTTTGGAATATGTAGTAATGACAGTTTCGCGCCGTTATGTTTTTGGAATGTGTGTAGGCATTAAAATTATTGTTTTGTGACGTCATACACGAAAAAAATGAATTGCCTATTTACAGCTACGATGAATATAAAAGATTGACAGCTGGTTTTTATAGCAGTTTGTTTTGATAACAGTTGGAACTGAGTGGAGGTCAGTCATATCAATTCCTTATAGATTACTTAATTAGAATAGCGTTATCAGTTACAAATCTATGAGGGGTTTTGGATGTCAAAAAATGTATTTTGTTAATAAATCAATTCATAGAGCTCGCTAATATCATACATTCAAGGACCGAAACCAATTTTAATTTGAATTCGAAAATTTTACGAATCAAAATTAAAAATAAAATACCAGGAAAACATCGCCGCTCGCTACTGATTATTATAGCACTGGAAACTTTTGAAAGCTTTCTTCTACTTACAAAATTTGTAACGTGAAGAAAAAATAAGCTGTTGCATATAATCTTTTCAACGACTGTTTCAAAAAAATATAATTTTGTATTTAATTTGTAAATTTGTATTTAGAAAACATTCGCAGCAAATTTCAATTATTATTTCCATTAAAACCGTTCAATTATATGTTAGAAATATTATCCTTTTCAATTATTTAAAATGTAATCCCATTGGTATACCAGCATTACATAAAAAGTGAGTACTTTGTTCAAAAGTGTTCCAAACCTCCATTTTTATATAATTTTAATATTATACGCATGTTTTATCGCTGAATATTCTAAATATTATATAGATGTTATTCAAAATCTAAATACTTTTTAAAATTTTGCATGCTTGAAATTTTGTATTCCTTGGACTCTTCTTATTATTCTTACAACTTTTTTATTTCACAAAAAATATTCACTTTTGAAGTACACACAATGAGATTTTTATTAAGTATTTGAAAAAAAATTATATATTTTTTAAATATGCTTAAAATTTACCTTTAAAATCACACTTGTACTTTCTAATGCAAACCACATTTTCTAAAATTATAATATATAGCAGACGTTTCAATCAACATTATTCACCGAATAATTATACGAATTTTAAATGAGGAAAAAGTAAAGTAAGAGTACACTAACTTCAGAATAAGAGTTTTTTGGGGAGAATTGAGTGGATAAAATCAAGCATTCGGTTTTTAACGTAGCCGCAGATATTCTTTATCGTTTCTAAAGTTCTTAAAGTGCTTAGGAGTAGTAAGGAGGCAAAATTTTAATTGTTTTCGAATATTTCTCTCCACAAGCTTTTAACAAACAATAGCTTTATTTTTGGTTTTGGACAAAACCCAATAATTATTCATAAATATATTAAACTTTGTTCAACCAGTGCTAAAATACTAATATATATGGAAAAAAACTGATAAATATTCAAACAGTTTTATAATTCCATAAAAACTTCTGAAGAGCTTTTTGAAAAAGCTCCTAAAAGCTTTACTTTTACCACAACAACTCTTTTCAAAAATGAACAATTTTAAGGTTTTTTCAAAACTCTCAAGAGCTTTTTAAAAAGC